TCTACTAGTAATGAACGAGATACGCGTGTGTAACAGGACAAGAAGTTGTCTAATTTGCAGGTTATTTATTCACACTTCTCTAAGATTATAGAACTGGACCTCCTTCCTCTCAGTCTCAGCCTTCAAAGACACAGAAATTTTAATATGCTTCTGAGTGTCTTTTGAGGCATCTTTTCAAAGTCTAAGCTTAAAATACAGAATGTTACATCAAATAAGTCAAAAAGAAGGCATTACATCTGTTCAGAACAGCAGTTACTTGAATTTTTTTCATTCATTGCCTATGCTGAATTTTGAGATAGTGGATTAGATGAGTAAAGAAGATGAAAAACATGGCTCTTTGTAAAACAACAGAGGCATATGCCTTTTATTGTCTTTGTCATCCTTGGTGAAAGTGTTGGGGAAATGTAATTTCAAAGCTTTGGAATACAGACTGCAAATTGGTTTAACTCAGTCAAATAAAATCTTTGTTCCCAGGTGTAGGGATAACTTCAGTATTTGTACTCAACAGAAGTAAATAATAAATATTTATTATGGGAAAAGTCTGGTTCATTAACCTTTAAGATTCATTCCCAAATAATTCATATTTGTCCTACAAAGCACATGAATTTACTTGTACAGAGTGTGCCTCCCTCTTTGTGACATGACACTTCTAAATGTCATTGTCCCTGTAAACTATGCTACTGTGATTGCATATTGAGCAATAAATGAGCATTTAATAGAGTATGTGGAATGCAATATGTAGCATATCATTGGTATTACTTTGCTATTTTATGTTCTTGAATAAGTTTATGAAAACTAAAATCAAATACCAAGGCATCTAAAATCTTGGTGTAGATGTGACAAGTTGTAGATGTGATGTCCAGTTGTTCATTGAAGTATATAGTGAGTTCTCCCAATGAATTTTGTTCAAAAAGTTTATAAATAGCAGCTTTTCTTTAGTGTCATAGGATTTTGAGAGGTTACTTCATATATTTTTAAATGTTCTTCTTTTCCTGGTTTAAAAAGGACTTCACTATATTTTTTGCATAGGCTTTCCAACATTCAAAATACAGTCTTATTAGAATTACTGCATTTTATTGCATTGCTAGAGTGGTAAATTTGCATGTAAAAAGCCAAAATCTGACATACATTCAACATTTTCAGGATTACAAAGTTTTAAGTTAGTTTTCTTTCAGGAAGCTTTTTTTTTAAAAAAAAGAGCAATACATTTTTCTCTGGAGGCTAATAAGTAAGCAGTGTACAGCTTCACATTCTCCTTTCATTTCATTTGACATTTTATATGCAGCCAAGAAGTAGGTATTTGTCCATTCCAACAGAAGATGTATGAATCTCGGTAGAGGATCTGCTTCGAAAAAGCTGAGTAGACTGAGCCATCCTGCGCAGTGGTCCATATGCAAAAAATAAGGGTTTATGAACTTCTCAGTACCAGCTAGTGTGTGTATATCTTCTTGAATTTTATTGGCACGATGAAGAAGATTGACGTCTATGGAATCCTTACTTAAAAGAGCAATCTATTCTTCTGTTTATGCCGCTAAAAATATAACTCGTTCCATGCTTCTGGGAGAGACTGGAATCATAATAACAGGGTAAATTCAATGCTATGTGCCCAGAGTACTAAAAAAAAAAAAAAGAGTGATGTATGAAGCACAATGAGGGTCCTACCTCCCTGTAATTAGGTATTAACATCTTCAGGGTATAAAACAACGTTGTATTATGAAGTGTATTATGAAGGACATTTTTGGCAGTCTATGTAATTAACTAATTTTACATATTAGAGGAGTCTCATACAAGAGATCTTGTGACACTGCTGTTGTACCTGCCTTCTGTTCCTGTTTTATATGTCTTGAGGTTCATGGTGTGTGGTGCTAAACACTGGCAGTGTTTGTAATTATGCAACAAGAAGTGGGTTTCAGCCTGCTGGCTTATGGACAACTATTTTGATCCTTGCACTGGAGAACAGCAGGTCTTGCTAACTTTGATATAAGTCACTTGATGGTTTCTTTGCTGCTTCTTATGTTATCGAATGCTTTTGCATACTTCCTCTATTTTTCCCCAAACTAGTATTTGATTCATGTCAAAAGGAAAGTGCTGTAGTTTGCTTGGATGACGTCTTCAGGGGTGCTTTCGGTGCCTTACTTTAGTACTATGCCTCGGTTAGGGTGCAAATCTGTTTTTTATAATTTCTGTCCATGAAGAGTGACCAGTGAGGGGTGGTTGAGAGCAAGAGCTTAGCATGAATGATCAGAAGTTTTATCTATAGTGTTGCCCTGCTTTGAGCTCAACAGAACCAATTCTGTTCAGTGGTTTTACTTTTCAGCTGAATCTCTTCTAAGAGGCTGCACTTTCTGAAGTTAACAGCATGTTTTTGCAGACAGGTCAGTTTCTAGAAGTTACTGCCTGGGATTGGTGTGCAGAAAGGCTCTTGCTGATACCTATTCCTATAGTGACCAAAGTTACTGCTGGATCTTGTGTGCCACACTGGGGGTGCTGGAAGGTAAAGGGGTCACAAGGAAGTAAAAGGTTGCATCTCCGGGAGTAGTGGGTAGGACAGGTGACCAACAAGAGTATTCTGTTCCATATACGTCATATTGAGTATAAAACTGAGGGATCAGAGGACTTAAGCTCTCTTGCTCTTCCTTTTCTTCAATGGCCAGTGTCAGAGGATGACTCCATACATTTTTCTGCCTTTGATCCTGAGTTCCTAAACACAGTTCCCTGTGTTGATTTCCCCTCTGCTGTTTAGCATCAGAATTCCCCAGTGCCTGCCTGCTCTGCAGCATCAGTGGTGATTGCTATCAGGAAGGGGAGTTGGGTTTGGTAGTGGTTTGGTATATATTTGTATGTAGGTCATTATTTTCATTATCTACTTATTAGTAGTATTATTGTTTTATTAAAGCTGTTTTAGTTTTCTTTTTCCAATCTGTAAATCTCTCTCCCTCATTCCCTCTCCCCTCCTGTTTGGGGAGGGAGAGGAGCTAGAGAGCATCTGTCAGTGCTCAGGGGCCAGCCCGGCCCTGACCCTCAACAGGTGTGAAGCTATACATGGTGGAAACCAGAGGTGCTGCCCAGACTTGGTTTGCATATGAATTCCAGATGACTTTTGAATTCATGTTGAGGTGAGGCTTATTCTGGTCTGTACCCTGATCTGAGAGTAGGAATATCAAACAGCTCAAGCTGTTGTGCTCCAACAAGTCATCTGACAGGCACGTTATGGGCACCAGGGTTACAAGGCACTGTAAATCTCATGTACCCTTCAATCTAAACATACCCCAAATTTTCGTCTTTAAGAACCTGTCTCTTCATCGCTGTAGAGTATGTTTCAAGAGACAAACCTCACTACTGGAGCATTTAGACAGGTGGTGAGATTTTTTTAGGCCTTCACCTCCTGTTGGATTAGGATGGCAGCTGCTATAATCCTCTTGTCTTTATTGTGGAATTATTTTAGCACACAGTTTTTCAAAATAATATCATGTGGTAATACTGATAAAACCAAACCTGATCCAGACTTCAAATAGGAAATGATAAGATAGAAGGTGAGGAAAATTAATTGCATATATATCAATTGCATATGTCTGTGATGCAAGACTGGGACAAATTAATCTCCAGTGACCCGTTTGCTCCATTCGTTTATTGGTATTATATTAAGGAAGAACATGATCTATTATCTATTGCATTGGTAGGAAATAAAAAAAGAAAAAGCTATCATTAAATATACCCTTGTAATGAGCTGTAATGCTGCTTTATTTTATATACATGAGAAAATAGATTCTTTTATTATCGTGCTATTAGAGCACGTCAAATCTCAGATGAAGTCTGCTTTCAGCAGAGTTCTTTTTCTACTTTATGGCAACATTACGTCTCATTGAAAAATTAGTTCATCCAATCTGAACAATGAAGGCAGGATGTTTTGATTTTGGGAATCAGAAACCTTTGCTTTCTCCTGATTTGTTAACAGCATTTTTACATTTTCAAGAGCAGTGTTTCATTTGTTAGGTTCATCTTTTCAAACCTGTTTCTACAGGACAGAAGTAATAGATCAAGTTGTCATACAAACATGGTTTTTTTCAGAAGTACTCCAAAAGTAAATTAACAAACCTAAAGTAATTTCAATAGTCTGTCATTTTAATGAATTAGCAGGTGTGACTATTAGTATTATGTTAATTAGCAGCTATATAAATGCTGTCAAGCTCATGGAAACTAGAGGAAGTTTACTTAATTTATTTCAGCTGGAGCAAGTTTAAACATTCTGTTTCTAAGAGCCTTTTTTGTGATCATTAAATTACTGACCGTCTGAGAACTATAGTTTCACAAACTGGGATGTATTTAAGAAGACAGAGTTTAATGACATGACCTTATTATTCAAAATTCCTAAAACATCATCTGGTTGCACATTTTTCAGTATTATCATTGTTGTGTTTGTGAATGTAAAGACATATGCTAAGCAATTTGTCTTAAGTAGGAGCTGACACAGTGCTAAACAGCCCTGGAAGCTTGGAAGGCCTGGAGGAGAGGAGAAAAAATGGTGTAAGAACTGTCATCTGCGAGAAAGGTTGAGCATTGCTCAACCAGCTACACCGCTTTAGGGATCTTTCTGTCATACAGCTCCTTGTGTTGCTCAGGGGGAGAGAGTGAAATTTCTGTGACATAATTGACGCTAAGCAAAATATTCTGGTAGATTGAAATGTGACTGTAATAGTACATGCATAAGTTACGCGTAATTTATAGACTCGTAGGCAAATGTTGGTGTGTTTAGTTGCTGGTTTTAACAGGCAGGAGGTTTTTACACTGCATCATTAGTCACAGAAAGCATCTAGCGCTACAGTCTTGTGCCAGAAATGTTAAATAGTTAAGCAATACAGCAGCAGAGCAATGGTTAAATGGTATTAAACATTATAAAACATAAAGAAAGGGATGAGCTGCTCTTTGTGTGTCTGTTTGAAAGGAAAGGAGGTAGATTGTAATGCAGCCTTTTTAATATCGGAAATCTTCTCCCTTTTCAGCGCAATCCTCCTTTGCTGGTCAATGATCTGTTTGAAGATATCAAGGATGGAGTAATGCTTATTGCCCTTTTGGAGGTTCTTTCAGGGCAGAAGCTGGTAAGAATTTCCTTCCTTCTGAATACAGAGGACAGTTGCATAATTTCTCTAGGATACAATTTTCTGATGTGTTTCTATATTTGAATACTCTAAAAAACCTGAATGCTCCATAGCAAAATGAGTTTATTCACAGAGTGGGCTACCTGGTTACAACACAAACCAAAAAAGATTATAATAGGCATTCTTGTTTTTATTTATTTTCTATTAATTTTGTCTTAGTAGTTCATAAAAATTGCTTAATTTTATTAGTCTTTCTAGTTCATGTAGGTGCTACTACTATTACACAAATGAGGTCTGAACTGTGAGCTATTTCTAGATATCTTGAAGAAATAATGGCAGAATTTTCATGTCAAATATATAACTTTATCTCTGAAAAAAATAATTTGTGACTCCCTCAATTTTCATGGGGTCTTGTACTCATTTACGCTGACAGCTGCTCTGCTACCATAAAGAACCGTAACTGATGCCAAGTGACTTTTTTCACAAGCAAGTTGTGTACAGTGGCCACGATGTGTACATGGCAAATAGGTTGCCTCTTGGGAGCGTTTTGTGTATGTGATGCAGGAAGGGGGGGGGGGGGGGGGGGGGTGAGGCCAAGGGGGTTAACTTTTTCCAAAGCATCTCACAGATCGGATGGCAGCATCTGAAGGAGTAGAGCAACAGTCTGTAATTAGTCCAGTTCTAGGGTTCGAACATTACCTGTTCCCTCACATGCAGGCAATTTGCAAATGCCAGACTTCTGCCTCTTTTTCGTATTTCACCTCTGTTATGATTGCAGGCAGTACCCTAAATGAGGTGGTAATTCAGACTGCAAGAATGATTTTACTGTAAGATGGGAAAAAAGCTATAAATGAAATGTCTTTCTGCTTTGTTGCAATACACTGATTTCTGTTTCTGTTCGTCTAAGACAGAAAGTCTCCCTCTTGTGGCAAAACAGAAGTAATAAAACAGGAAAAGAGATACGACAGTGCCTGTTACAATGAAATTCACTGGATTGTATTCTGCCTATAATAATTAGTGAAACACAAGAGATATTTCAGAAACAGAATTCTGTCTGGCTAATTTAAAGGTTATGTATACCAGAATATGTTATTCTGTAGTAACTAAGAGGACTTTCAGAATCTGTAACAGCCTTTTGTTAAATCCATTTGGAACTTTATGAGCATCAATTCAGTACGAGGGTGGCAAGACTTTGGAATAAATTGCCCAGAGATGTTGTGGCTGCCCCCTCCCTGGAGGTGTTCAAGGCCAGGCTGGACAGAGCCTTGAGTATCATGATCTAGTTGAGAGGCATCCCTGCCCATGACAGGGAGGTTGGACTAGATGATCTCTGAGGTCCCTTCCAGCCTAGGCCATTCTATGATTCTATGAATTTAAATGACAGTAGTTGTATATGTACCTTACAATATAAGATGCAGTGGGGAATTTAGTTCCAGTGTAGAGTATTAGAAGCCTAGGATATGTTCTTGATTTAATTCAAAGATTTATTTCTTTTTTTTTGCCTACATGTCTGTAGTTCAGTAACACTCATTGGTCAGTGATGGATTGTTATACTTGTTTTTTTTTAATCAGCAGTAAGGCATTAGAAAGAATGGATAAAAATCCTCTAGGTAAAATGTCTTCGCTGCAGGCTGATTTTTAGCAATAACAACCACCTTGACTTCTCCTTTGCAGGCAAAAATATTTTGCTGAGAGAAGTTTGCCTTCTCTCAAATACATATATATGTGTGTGTATATTTAAAAATAGAGGTAGTTTATTTTACATAAGAAAAACAGTATTCTGATTTGTTGAAGTTTACAGCCTGAAGCTGACAGCTTGCATCCTGAAGTTATTAAGACATATATAACTTTTTTATGATAGAAGTATCGCATATATGTCCCCTGTATCTGACAGTTCTCCCTTATGGTACATGCAAAGACAATTTGACTGTTCCAAGGTACATTTTAACGTGTAAATAAGGCTATGGTATGTACATAGGTATTTATAGTAATCTGGAAATTAATTTCTTGAAGCAAATTGACATAGATCTAATTGGAGTTTACATTGTTCTTTCTCTTTAAGCCTTGTGAACAGGGACGTCAGCTGAAGAGAATTCACTGGGTTGCCAACATTGGTACAGCTCTTAAGTTTCTAGAAGGAAGACGGGTAGGTTTGGTAGTTCTTATTCCTAGTTTTTTTCTTTTTTTTTCTTTCCTTAAATGAATTACTTGTATCCTGTTTGTATTCTCCAAAATTTGAGCTATGTGTGCAGTCTTCAGTTTCTACACTGTGCTGCCATAAATTAAAAATTACAAGATCAAACACTACCATGTAGCAATGTAGAGAGAAAAACTTTTAAATTTTTTTTTATTAGAATCACCTTGGATGATCTCCTTCTTTTTTTTTTTTTTTGTTTAATGTGCTCTTCAGCTTCTCCTGTTCCCTACTTTCCTGTTGCTGTTCTCAGCAAAGAACAATGATCTTCAGTTCAGCAGAGACATTTTTTTATAATTGAAAGAATAGATTTATGGACCTCACTAGGTTTTACATGCAAAACTACTCTCCGAAAGTATAGACATGAAAATTTAGAACAGTGTGACCCCTTATTAGCTTGGCAGGACTTCAGACTAATTCCTGGATTGATTTTGGTAAAGTCAGTGCTGTTGCCATTTTAGAAATAAAACAGCATATTTTATAAATTTAACAAAAGACAGAAAGCTTAAAAGCTCGACGTGATCTAGATATGAATATCAAATAAAATCGATCTACTTATACCTTTTCTCTTCACTTTTCTCTATATATTATAATGTCTTGTATCTGCTTTTTAAATTAGATTGCAGCTGTTTAATTTTTCCAATTTCTGTATTTTAGTTTACTTTTTGTCAATGCAGATATAACACCTGATGAACTTTATGTCTCCACAATTCTGTACACTGGAAGTTGCTGAGTTTCGGCATTCTTTCCCTCTCTTTAACCCATTGGCATCTTGACCTAATTATCCTTGTGTTACATGGGAAACAATCTTAGCATATGCCCGTAGAGAGGAATCTAGACAAGAACTACTTTTAAGTGAAAACAAAGACTGATATGTTCCTAAAAAAAATCTGCTTTAGCTCAGAAGATTTGCTATTTATGCAGTAGAGTTTGTTAATAGGAACCATATCATATCCAGCCTGAGAGTGCAGGCTTAGATACAGAGAGCTCCTTTCTGTTAAGAAAAGGGGAGGTGAAGGGCAAAAAACGCCCTGCTTCCCTAGCCGGTGTGTCACAACATAGTGAATGACCTGAACTCTGAATGACACATCTTAGATCCCATAAATAATATGGCAGTGCAGCTAGATACACTGGCCCCGCTGAAGATCAAGATAGATTGTCAGAAATGGAGCACGTGATTTTGCCACTGCCATCTGAATGTTTTCATCTGGACTTGTCTTAGTCATTTTTATACATACTTGATATCAGTACGCCAGGTTTTCTTCTAGAGGGAGTTGGAAATGCACAGCATGTCAGGTAGATTGCTGTGCATTAGCAGGTGGTCTCTAGGCTGAATCCAGCCTGAAGGAGGTGTCTATCCAGTCTGTCACCCTTGTCCTCCCAGAGGAGGTGGGGACCATGTTCAGACAGCAAATGCCTCTTCAGCAGCAGAGTGAAATCCCTGGTGTCTACTCCAGGGTGAAGGAATGGAGACGGATGGCCGTGCACAGAACTTTGGGCAGTGCCAACAGGGTCTCCTTCCTCAATGGGCTCTTCCATAAGTAAATTTTTTCACACATTTAATTAACTTTGTACTTTCAACGTCCAGAGAGACTTCTGCAGATACTCCAGTTACACTGCAAAATGGAGCTGGCAATTAACAGATGCCATTCTGGACCAACCTGTTGTGGGTTTTTTTCACTGTTCTGAAAAGTTTATCTTTTAGTTTTAGATCCATTTTAATGGAGCATGAGACAAAGGTAACATGGTAACTAGACTAGATAGGCTGTGCTTCTGTGAACAGTAGCCTAATCAGAAGCTTACCTGAGTCCGTGTAAATCTTTTGATCCCTGTTCGGTCCCCATGTGTTGCCTGATCTAGTTGAGAGGCGTCCCTGCCCATAACAGGGAGATTGGATTAAATGATCTCTAAGGTCCCTTCCAACCTAGGCCATTCTATGATTCTATGATCTGTAATACATGTAAGAAAAACCTCAGTTTATAGAAAAAGAAAAGCTTTTGTTGGAATTGGTCCGTATGAGAGAATGAGACTCTTGGTACATTTTTCTTTAGGTAGGTGGTAGAAGATTTTCCTTATTGACTGATAGAGAAGCAAGTAAAGTCAATTTTCCTAGAGTTTTGCCAGACTTCCTGGTGGAGAGGATTGGAAGTACAACTTGTTGGGATTTCTCCTCTGCCTCCTCTCAAGCAGTCTGTAGAGTTTTAATTCTGAAAAGAGCTTCACAGCCCTAAACAACAATTTTTGTTTGTTCTTGAAACTATCTATGTGTTTCCATCTGCTGATTCAGAGAACTGCAGTCTTTTCTGTTTGGGGAGACAAATGAAGTCACCTAGTCATTCTCCTGCTTTTCTTTAACCTATTCTCCAAGGTTTTTTTGTAGTCTTTGTCTTTGAACAAGCTTACAGTGCATTAACACTTGACCAGGCCTTTATATCATGATTGATGGCAGACTCTTAGTTTTACTAAGTATTAACATATTTGCTAATTTTCCTGCACTACTGTTTTTATCCCGTTCCCTTAACCATTACCGATCTGTTAACTTCTCTGAGATACCCTCTATCACATCCTTTACTGCCTTTTATCTTATGAGCTGATTTTAGGATGATACTTTATTCAGACTACTGAATAGTCACTCCCGTGCCTGCTGAAAAACTACTTGTGACCTTGGACAACTCATTTTTTCCTTATTTGTTTGATTTTGAAAGAACTATAGTCAGGTTTATCTTGCAAGGGAGCCTTAATCAGTGGTGGTAATATCCATTTCACTAAGAGGTTCTCTACTGGAGAACTGTGGCATTCTTTTTGCCCTTATTTTTCTTCTATGCTTTCTCCCTCCATCTTCTTTTTCTTCTTTACTCTTAAACTTACTTTTTCCACTCCAAATCTATTAGATCTATAGCAAGAAACCCCTCTGTAATTTAAAACCTGGAGTATTTAATTTGCTTTCCTTATTAAGTATGTTGTAAGATATGCCAGATATGTGGGGGTTTTGCATTATAACATTAAATGAATGCATTTGACAGTTCATCTTTTAAAACTTATTTTTCTATCATCTTTTTCCATTTACTTTTCATGCTAGTCCATATACAGAGGATCTCCGGTTTGTACAATGGTTCTATGTAATTTTTACTGTTCTTTCTTTTTGAAATTAGATATATTTTCTGCAAATAATAGCATGCAATGGTCTCAAAAATCTTTCATTACCTATTGCTATACTTGTCTAAAAAGTGAAATTGCACAATTCAGTGATTTTTTTTTTTAGTTAAGAAACTTGTTTGGTTGGAAGAATGCATTAAAAATGTAAAACCTATTTGAAATGCATTTTCTAATTGCTATTATTCCTTGTATATGGTCATAACACATTTTCTTTCCTTTATAGATAAAGCTTGTGAACATCAACTCAACTGATATTGCTGATGGCAGGCCTTCTATTGTGCTTGGCTTGGTGTGGACCATAATTTTGTATTTTCAGGTACTATAGTTTTTATACTTCAGTGTAGTTTACTCAAATAATGGTTCATGTCATTGTTTCATTTGAACTAGTTGTTCCAGTCTTTCGCTACAGATAAGTCACTTTAAAATTATCCAAGAATCTAATGCCTAATAAAGCCACAGTTGATGGTGGGGGTGCTTCGATTGGGTAAACGTAGGTACTTGTCTTAGGAATAGATTGTTTTAAACCTAGAATGGAATTTCTTCATCACTGGAATATGTTATTTCACTTTCTCTGAAGAGTACAACAGGGCAATAAAAGAATAGGATTGTAGCTTCTTTTTAGAAGTATCTTTAGCAACCTCAGTGGTAATTGTGCTATATGTCTGATTACAGTGCACTTGATGGTGAGACAGTAATTATTTTCAAGCAATACACATAAACATTTGCCACAAAGCAGTGGTAAAAAAAGAACTACCCAGATGAAATCATTGAGGTGACTTCCATTCTTTAATTAAATGAGCTTCCTCTGAAATGAGTGAATTGTTTAATAATTTAAATTCAAGCTAAATGTAATCCATTGTCTCCTATTTCAATGGTAATTTGTCATAACAGACAACGTGACACACTTGCATATAGTTCTAGCTGTAGGGTGTCAAGGAAGTCAATGACAGCTAGATGTCTCATCCTTCTGAAATTAGGACCAGCATCTGGGCACAAATACTACCATTTTTGAAGCTACTTTAATGCACCATTAAAAAGCACAGCAAGCTTCTGCCCAACTTTATTTTGTGAGTTGTGTTAGGAAATTATTTGAGAAATTGATGAGAATGAAGAAGATTATTTACAAACAGTCTGTTAACATTTTTTTCCCCACAGATTGAAGAGCTTACCAGCAACCTCCCACAGCTGCAGTCCTTGTCTAGCAGCGCTTCTTCTGTGGAGAGTGTTGTCAGTTCAGAAACTGCAAGTCCCCCAAGCAAACGGAAGGTGGTAACCAAGGTCCAAGGAAGTGCCAGGAAGGCTTTGTTAAAATGGATACAGTACACAGCAGCAAAGTAAGTAACCTACAAATGAACTTAAGCATGGACTTTTTCTTCAGATCCTAAAGTCTCTCAGTCAGGGATTGTCCTTTTGCTCTGTGTTTACATAGCACTTCCCTGTGATCATACTCATTTGACAGCTGAGGCTGTTAAATATTACCACAATACAACAAGCAAATAATAAATAACAATTTGCATTAATTTCACAAGCAATCATATTTTCACGCTTCTGAATAATGAATGGGATTACCTTTGATGGGATGAGGGCTGAAATGGGAATTACATGTCTGAATGCCAAAGTGTTAGTCCTGCTGCCAAAACAGTGTGACAAGGCAAGTCACACACTGACTTAAAAGCATTCCTCAGGGACAGAGCTTCTAGGAGCGCTAAATTCTGACACTTGCTGTTGAAAGGCAGGTGATGAAAAATGATGAATATCCTTCTGCAGTTTTGTAATACAAGGGACACATTAGTACAAAAAATTGTCCTGAATGTTCAATCCTTTTAATCCAAATTAATTTGGAGTTATTTCTTGCTACCTCTTGTTAACTTAAGAATCTTCTCCTTTAGTTGGTATAGTTATATTTCCTCTGCTTAGAAAATAAAACATGAGAAAAGTGCATAAATTACATATAAAGATACAGTAGCAGTTTGATAGCTTCTGCAATTAGAAAATAAAAATCAAAGATGTAAGAGAATAAAATGTATTTATTTATTCAAATTAAGGAATCACTGCTATTTGAAGAGATTAGTGATGTGCAAAATGTGATGGGGAAGTGGCCAGTTATTGAGTGGTGACTCAAAGAAATGAAATATGATTGAAAAGGTACAAACTTTAACCACGTCTTGGATAAGTAGATAGAATACAGTAATTTCTAAAGCAGTACAATATAATCTGGTATTCTTCCTGTTTCAGTATTGTCAGTAAGAAACAGGAAACTGAAAATGGTCAGCTGCAATTTCCAGACATGTAAACAAACAAAATAGAAACAAAGTAGTTCATGAATTAAATTGGCAAAATGGTTGGGAAGATTGGTTGCAATGTGTTGAAAGAAGCCTAGAGAAAGGTCTGTACACTTTGCCTAGCCCTGCTTTTCATTGTAATTTTTAAGGGCTAGCTCATTAAAGTCAATGAAAGTGTTTCACTGGCCACAGTGAACGTTGAATGAAGCCTTCATTCAGAGTTACTGTTCCTGTGAACCTCCCAATGGCAAGACTACCTCAGTGTCTAAGTGTGTCCTTAAAAGAAGTTTGCATTCTCAAATAGAGTGAAAAACAGTTGCAGTCTGTGGACCACCATTCTCTTCAGGATGACTTTTAAAATAAGCGGTTAGAAGTGTGACTCAGTTCTAATTACTTTCTCATGTATGATCTATTTCTTGATCATTCATGTTTATACTCACTAACAAGGAGGGTCTGGTTGAAGCAGTGAAGGTTGAGGGCAGCCTTGGTTGCAGAGACCATAAGACAGTGGAGTTCAGGATCTCATGCAGTAGGAACAGAATACCAAGC